TGTGTGTCTCATCCAAATTCTTCAAGCCCTCTTTCCTCCTTACGTGTTTGGGAATTTCAACTATTCCTGATTTTAATTACGTGTTTTTTTTTCATTCTCATTTTCTTTAAAACCTCTTCATTGGTCACATTCTGTGTGTGATATTCTCAATTCAATTTAGTCAACTCAATGTAAACAAACCTTGTCCCTATGAAGTTGTAAGGGATGAAACACGTCACATGAAAACTTTTTCCACTTTGTCATACACCTTTCCTCCAAAACTATTCTTCATATATAAAAATTTATATATATCATTAACCTGTATATATATGTTCACATTGTCTATAAATTGACCCTGAATGCCAATCCCATTTCTTGACTTTATTTGAATAATAGATTAGGATAAATTTCTGTACATTTGGTTGACTTTTTTCTGTCCTTTCCCTGAGGAAGTTTAACCTTCCTTTGACAATATAAACAATAAGTTTGAGGCAAATTATAAATGAAAATATCAAGAGATTTAATTATTTTCTATCGATTTATGTTGTTTGTGAATCTGCAAAGGACAAAATAAGATTCATGAAAAGAATATTCTAAAATTTAACCTGTTATGAGTTGTGAAGTTATTGTAGAAGTCTCCATTATGAAATATCTCTTGTGTCCTTTGACAAGGCAACCATTAATTTTTGGCAAAAATTTTTGTGCTTAATAATTGAAATTATGCACATGTGTGCACATTTATTACTTTAATGCCTGTGTTTGAATAGAAGCTCTCTTTTTTAAACAGTGTACATTATGTCTACCAGTCTGCACACTTGAGAAAACTTAGAGGAAATGTGGTCTCTAATAGGGTTTGAACCTGCATTCCTCTTTGTAGTAGAAACTATCACCTGATCTGGTGTGCTTTAGGCATTTTGACCACAAAGAGTGTCATAGCCCAGCAAGTTTGTATTTACCTTTTCAAGGAATGTATATCCCATCATTCAGATTTTCTCAAAAGCCCATTATGCTTAATTTTGTATTTGAAATGTAAACAAAATAATTTCTAAAGTCTTAATAAATTTAATTTTATTATTTTAAATATCATTTTTAGTGGATAATTGTGTCTGAATAGATGCCCCATTTTTTAAAATTTAAAAAAAAATTCTTAATGGTGTGGTTTCTCTTACAAACTGGAACACAGGTTCAAACACTGCCAGAAAGAGGACATTTTCTTAAGTTTTCTCAAATGTGAAGGCCGACAGGCATAACATGGCCCAATTTAAAAAAAAACAAAAAACAAAGCAACCATTCAAACACGGGTATCCAATAAAAATAAGATTTGAAGTAATAAATATGTTGGATGAAAAATAAATCCATTAATTCTTTATATATGTAATATATATATATATATATATATATATATATATATATATATATATATATATATATGTGTGTGTGTTTTTATGAAGGAATAAGCAAAAAACAGTAGTGACAAGTTCTTCATTAAAAATTTTTATTATTGGTAAATATTACTGACCTCAGTAGTCGATGTGCTATTATTTCTTCTCTCTTTATGAAATGGTGTTTCTGTTTTTGCTACAGTTTGTCATTTACTGCTCACCTCCTTGCGATTTTTGTATGTGCTTTTTTTTTTTTTTTTTATTAAATAAATAACCAAATACTGAATAACCATTTTATTTTTTTTTTTTAAATTTCTTTTCTATTAAGAATAACATAAAATTGAAATCTTATTACAAAGCAACTGTTCAGGGTGATGTTTAGATCCATTAATTTGCAGTTTTTATCCTTGGACCTTGTGTAAATGAACACTGCTGCATGCTGACAATTTTAAATGATTTGTAACAGACATTGCTTTTCTTCATTCGATGATGTGTGTTTGTTTCATCTGTAGCGTGTTCATGTCATAATTTTTTTTTTTTTTTTTTTTGCAAGTCAGGACTGCTCTCTAATTTCATTGTGCATTAAATAAATAAATTAAGAATTTTATATTTTGTTCTTGATATGTTATCTGACTTTCAAATGTTTATAATTAATAATCATATTATTTGACAACCTCCATATAATTTCATCTTCACAATTGACCATAGATTTTTAATTGGATTTAAATTGTATTTTTTAGTGGCCATATTATCTTCTCTCCTGCAAACCTTTTACACTAAAAAAATTCACCATTAACCTTAAATACATGAGAAGGAGCATTGTTGTGTATAAATACACGCTTCACTTTGAGACTGTGAGGCTGGAAATTGCATCATCCTGAGAAAGTGTTATTGGACTTGAAAGTATTCTTGATGTATTATCTGAATTGCAACAGTGTTTATAATTTTGTGTTTGCAACCAAATTATGCCAAAGTAAATTGTAAGTTTTTTTTTTTTTTAAAGCTGTATACTTTTTTTAAAGAAAAAAATTCTATTTATCCACAATCTGATATTAGAAGGGGGGGGACTAAAGTAGAATTTGTCTTAATGCCTTTATACAATTTTTATTTTGCGTGGGGAATCAATTTTCATATGGAAAACATGATAGACTAATTTAATAATACTTGCTTAAAGGCCATCAAATGTTAAACTTGATGTTATATCACTTCCTCTATCAAATTTCTATCTTTTGTAAATAAAGGAGACTATTTTGTAATTTTCTCCGATTGCAACTTCCCTGCCATTCTTTCAGGATCATGACTCTCTATAACTTCCACTTTTTTGTTGTTTTCAGTAAATTTTGACTTTATACTGTCCTTATTCTGCTACCAATTTGCCCAAACTAGTTAATTAGGGTACTATTTTTTTTCCTTCTCTTCAGTGTTCTGTGAGTGTTAAATTCTCCAAGCCCTCTTTCTCCATTATGCATTGCTGCAATTTTAGCTCTTTTTTTTTATTTTTTTTATTTATTATTTTTAGTTTCAGTTTCCTTGTAATTATTCTTCTCAACCATTCCTTGTTACTCACATGTTCTGTTCATGATATTTTCAGCCTTCATCAGTAGGGCCAAAATTGTCATTTCAACATCAAACTTGACAGACTTCTGCTAGCAACCATCAACCTCAGAGAATGGAACTCTTTAAAAACTCTTTCAAAGACTTTGGTTAACTTTGGAATATTACTTTAGTAAGGAATTGCTGCTTAATTCTTAAACAAAACTCTAACTACATTTAAAATTAAGTTTCCTTTATTTGTATTTCTACTAATCTCTAACGGGCAGGAATCTATTGTTAATTTTACTTATACATGCTTACAGTTTGCAAAAATCCTTGTTTTGTCATAAGGTGTGAAGACATAATGAAAAAGAAATGAAGATTTATAGTTTTTGCATTTAATCAATAAAATTAATAATTTATATGCAAAAGTATGTACTTTTGTTTTGTTTATCTCTTTTGCTTTTGTAGCAAACATACAAAAATCAAATTGTTATCAGGTGGGTGCTGATGCAGACCCCAGACTATTAAGTTGCAAAATGGAGTGGAAGTTGATTTATTTATTAAACCATTTTAACTGTATTGTCTAAAAAAGGTTTTATTACAATCTTGTTTTTCTGTGTAGATATTGTGTATCCCCTAGCACACAATTTTCTTTTTCTTTTTTTTTTTTTTTTTTTTTTTTTTTTTTTGTATTATTGCTATTTATTTTCAGGATCTGTGATTATTCCACAACTAATGGCAAAAATATTATGTTATTGTCTTAAAGGAATATTTTGGTGTCTTTATTGTAATTTTAAAATAAATGAGCACCCAACTTTGTAAACTTTTTTTTTTTCCTTTCTCGTAATAATGGGGGTCATTATTATGCAAACCTGGCTACTGTGTTTACTCTTAATTCAGTCCATATTAGTAAGTGATCTAACCTGGATGTTGTTCCTGGTCACTAATATAATTGGATGGTATGTTTGCTAATAAATGAATGTAATTTTTAATTCAGTACATATTTATCTCTGGGTGTTTTCCTAAAAACATGTCACTTGAATTCATTTAGTGACTCAGCCTTTTATTAAAAATAATGCTGTTAATTTGTTTTTATTATCTATAATGCAGTAATGCATTATTTGCTTATATTTCCAATTGTATTTCTAATTTTGGCATAAAGAAAAGCCATGAAAAATTTAGTAAATCATTTTAATAAATCTTGTAAATTTAATGTGTAATATTTTCTAATCTTTTTATGTACCACATTTTTTGTGTTTCCATATGATGAATTTTAAGTGAAAATTAAAGGCATAAAAGGGGGTCGTATTATATACAAGTACACATTTTAAGAATTTTTTTACTAATCTTAAAAACCCTTATTTGAAACCAGAAGATTGCAAATACACTCAAATAGAATAAAACCCAAAGTAGGCAGGTGCTGATGATAATTGTTTACAAAAGGTATTTGATGTGTCAGCAATATTTATTTCTTGGCAGTTTTTTGTCTCAGTTTTTCTCACAAAATAAAGTTTGTTTTTTACATTTTGATTATTCTGTTTTTAAAGTTTTTTTTCTTTTTAATCTCAATGAAAGATTTTTTTTTTTTCATTTTTCAGAGTTTATTAATCTAGAGAAATATAATAAAGTCATATCAAACAGAAAAGTCTGATAGATAATTAGCACCGTAAAACGTATTACCATGTATGTCTAGTTAGCAGCTTTTGCTGAAAGTTTGTTTTGAAATGGAAATTTGAAGATACATGCAATGGCTAAACATTTGGTTCATTTCTGTTCTTTTAATATTGTGAAAAATATTTTAGGGATGGCCATACTACAGGGGTTGTAATTTAATTACAAGGAAGTAATTTATTCACTGTTTTTAGTCTTAGAAAGGGAGGGTTGTATTATACATAAAAACTACCATATAAAAAATTCCATTTAAAAGTTGAGACAAAAAGTTGCTTTATTGATATAATGAACTACAAGATTATGCAAATTAAAAGCTATTTTAAAAGTAAATTTAGATTTGCATGTTGTATGGATTAAGCTGTTTTTTTTTTTTTGTTGTTCTTTAGACAAAGCATAGTTACCTAAATTATTTATTTTCAATTTTCAGGCAGAATGGATGACTTGAAAAATAAAATCCATGCTGTTTTACAGAGTTCAAAAGATGGGGTACGAACTATTGATTTTAAAAGTAAGTATTTTTCTTGATCCTTAATGTAGTTTCCTTTCAGAGATGACATTTCAAAACAAAACTTTCCTAATAATGTGTCTTCAAAATTATTGTAATTTTTATTTTTCTCATATTGCACATTCTATTCTTTGCTTAATTGATTCATTCATCATGTTGAGAGGAAGTTTAATTTTTTTTTTTTTTCCCCCCAAAACCATGTTTTTTTTTTTTTTTTTTTTGTCATTGACATAAAAGACAAAATACAAAACGTATCTAGAGATTTAGTCAAAATGTTGAAGCTGCAAAAGGATTATATAGCAAGCAGCTAAGAAAAATAAAAATTTCAGCAGTTTTGTTAGTGATCTGTACATTGAATATTGCTACCACATTTGGTCTGGTGCTTCTGCTATATATATCTTGAGATTCTTGACAAAATCCAAAAAATCGATCCTGACCTGCCAGTCACTTTCCTACCTCAATAACTTTGCTTCCTTGTGCTGTTGAAATGGCTAATTGTAACCATGTTCTATGCTTATAGTTTCTTCTCTCATGTTTCTTGCTTGTGGAAATCTCTTCCGGCTTCTTGCTTTTTCTACTACAATCTTTAAAAATTTAAATATAATGTCAATCATCATCTGTCTCCTTCAAATCCTGGTCTTTTTAATGTCCTCTTTTCTCAGTTTCTTTCATTCTCAGTAACCCTTTGTATCTTGGTGGCTTTTATTGCCTTGCTTTATTAATAAAATAAAAAAAAAAAATTGGTTTTATTACATTTCTCATGTTATCTAAGAGATGTAAGTGCATCCCATCCATCTCTGCTTGTTAGTGTATCCTCTCAGTTACTTATGTCGGTCAATTAGAATAGTGTAGAATACTGAAAATATTCAAATAGCTTTTCTTATTTTAATTAACCTTTAACATTCTGCATGAGTATAGCCTTAACCATGAGTAGCTTTCCCTTTCATGACATTTTCCTGAGGTTTCTCCACAGTAGTTTTACTATTGATTTCACTTAAAGCTTTCTGCTGCCATAGCAGGATTTGACAACACAACTGCAAAATTCAAAAATACTCATCTGCAGTAGCAGGACAAATGAAATTGTCTACAAAGTGTTAAAGATTAAGAATCTATATAGTTGAATTGCTTTGGTTTATGCAACTGTCATTTGTATCTGGTGCTTCACGATAAAATTAACTGAGGAAGGCATTGGTTAGAATAGAATAAGATGGAGATATTAGTTTGAATAACTCGTGAAATTTTTAAAGATTATAACATTTTTTTTTAAGCATAATTATACAAAAGGACCTGTACTTCATAGATTATGCAAAAACATTTGAAAAGGTACAACACAAAAATCTATTTGAAATGCTTGGAAATCTAAAATATAACCAAACAGATTTTCTTTCTTGGTGGGCCGAGAACTTTTCATCACTTCATATTGAGTAGTCTTTCTTTTGCTTTTTTTTTTTTTTTTATAAATCACTTCACCCCAATCGAGGTAATGATGCCACTAAGATGCAATGGGCTGCTGGAAGTGAAAGAGAATAAAAAGACTTTTAGAAAGAACTGGAAACCCAATCCTAAAACTGAAGCCATGGATAAACCTGTACTCCTGTCCAAAAGACTGAGGAGGAGTATGGACTGGACAATAGGTGAACTCTACTATTCCTGTCAACCCCTATCTACTACTAGTGCTCAGAGTATGTTGTTAATTTAACAAGTAAAGTAATTTAACTAGTAATATCTTGTAAAGCCAATAAAAATTCCTTAGCTACAACACTTGTGGAACATTTTATTTTGTACTGTGACAAAAACTTCTCATGAAGTCAGTTATTTTGTACCTTTTTGTAACAATCAGGTGTTTTCTGAATTCACTAAAGTCAAGATATTTGTGTTATTTTATAGATTTTTTTCTTTTCTGTATTCAAGTAAAAATAACATTGACTTTTTATTGTATGTTTCAGTTAGTTGAGAATCAATGCTAAATAAATTTGCTACCATCTTGTAAGAATTACATTGAATCACAAAGAAAGTGATGTTACTGAAGACCTGAACACTTTATATTTGATTCTTTTAACTAAAAAGCTGTTCTGATCACAAGCAAATTAAACTGAATTAGATGTTAATAGATTAATAAGGATTTAAAGTTACTGCAAGTGATTAGACTGATAAGAAAATAGATTATCCTTAATGAAAGAAAATTATTTTGCTATGGATTTTTAAGAAGTTAAGGTACCTTTCCCCCTCACTCCTCTCTAATTAAAATAGTTGTTATTAATTAGCAACCTGTCACTTGGGGAAAAAGAGAAATATTATGGTCAAAATAAAAAGCTTAACCCATTAATTAACACTATGAAATCTGGTAATAATTATAGAAATCTTGTGTTAATTATTGGATTGCTGGAAAATAAATAAAACGACAAAAATCTAGTGTTAATTATAGGTTTCTAAAAATGAAAGAAAATTTGTTAAAGGTTTCTTAAAAAAAAAAAATCTTATTTCAATTAGGTTTCTAAAATAAAAAAAAATCTTATTTCAATTAGGTTTCTAAAAAACAAAAATTAGGATCAACTGAATTAATCTGGTGTTAATTATAGGTTTCTAAAAATGAAACAAAGTGAAACAAATCTAATTATAGGTTTTTAAAAACAAAAAAATGAAAATCTAGTGTTAATTGTAGGTTTCTAAAAATCAAAGGAAATCTGGTGTAAAAGGTTTTTAAAGAAAATAAAGTTAAAAAAACTGACATTAATTATAGATTTAAAAAAAAAAAAATAATAATAAATTAAAAAAATTTGCGTGTTAATTATAAGTTTAAAAAAAAAAAAAAGTCCAGTGTTTATTATTGATTTCTCCCTATAATCCATTGTCTCAAAAATGGATATGATGTGTATTAATGGGTTAAACAAAATAAAAAAGGAATAATATTAGTGATTTTCTACATTGAAAGAAATGGCAAGTACTGAGATCAGTTTTGAAAGTATATTGTTTTATTTCACTACTTTTGAGAAATTATGGTCAGTTTAAGTTCTAAGAATGCTTATATTTATCATTTATTGCTACTTCTTCATCTTCTCTGTGCTGTATCCGTTCAGGATGTGAACGATCATGGCTCTCTACAACTTCCTATCCTTTGTAACTCTTACTGAGGATTGTTTTTTTTTTTTTTTTTTTTTTTTTTTTTTTTTTTCACCTTCCCTTCCACTCTCTCTTCTGCTATCCATTTACAGTTCATTAGGCAGGCTACTCACACCTTCCCCTCTGTCCCACAGTATGTCCTGTGAGCATCAAATTCTTAAAGACGACTTGCTGCTTTCCTCTTACCTTCAATATGTCCTGAGTGCCAAATTCTCCAACCCCTCTTAGCTCACTATGTGTCTGAGAAATTTCAAAACTATTCTAAAGATAAGTGTCTTTTTTGTTTCCATTTTCCTTTAAAAACTTCTTCACTGCTCCCCTGTTCGGTCCATGATATTCTCAGTATCCTTCTATAGAAACATATTTCTGTTGACTCTAATCACTTCACATAAAAAGTAACACACTGCACCTTCTTAGCCTCACATCTTTAACTGACCTGACAAGGAGTGACTACATCGAATCAATAGTCAACTGTATCTACTGCTAGGAAAGTTTGGTCACTGTGTCATGCCAGAAAATTTTTCTCATCAGTCCATCTTGCACATTTACAAATCTACAATTCATCTGTGCATTGAATATGGCTCTATATCTGGTCTGGTACTCCTGTGATTCATCTCGAGGTTCTTGACAAAATCCAAAGAAGGATCTGTAATGTAATCGATCGTGACTTGGCATCTCAACTTCAGTCGCATTCTCAGTGACATGGCATGGCTTCCTTCTGTCTTTTCTCAAATATTTTCATGGCAACTGCTCTAATGAGCTTTTTTTCCCTGGTTCCCTGACTAAAAGAATTTAAGTGTACTACTAGATTGGAAACTAGGTCCCACCCATTTACTGTTGAAATAGTTAAATGTAACTGCCACTTCTACTCCAACAGTTTCTTTTCTTGCACTTCCCACCTGTGGAACTCACTTCCGTTTACTTGCTTCCCTGATAACTACAATCTTCAAAAAAACAACATTGGTGAGATTGTCTAGCATTCACTGATATATAAGAGGGCTAATATTACATAACAGTTTAGCAATTTTTCTTTCTTTCTTTCTAATAATTTTTCCTGTTTCTTAATATTTTGCTTAGCTTTTTCAAAGGTGTTTCTCACTTTTTCAATGCACCTTTCGGGGTCATGTTTTTTGTCCACTGTTAAAATTCTTCCCAGATATTTAAATTTTCATACTTGCTTAATTTTGGTATCTCCCATTTGTAGTTGGCATCTGCAGCTGTTCCTCTTGCTAACAACTTCACATTCTCTCTTCTTACAGTTGATGTTTACTTCTTCTTGCTTTCCTTTAATACCTTCTCTCTGAGTTTTTCTTGTCTGTGTCTGCTATCAACACTGTGTCATTTGCATATCTTATGTCATTAAGATTGTGGCCACCAATAATAAATTCTGGTAGGACTCTTAGTTCTCTTGATACTACCTTGTAAATGTTGAATAAGTTTGGTGAGAATATGTGTCGTGTCTTAGAAACCTTGTGTTATTTACTTTTGTTTAATTTGTCATGATGAGAAGCAATAGAAATGTTTCCCACTTAAAGTCCTTGTTAGTCTAAAACTCATTTGCTTAACTCTGTAGAATGAGTCATTTCTTTATGGAAAAAATTAGGTTTATGCTATTGAGTTGAATTTTCTTATTGTCAACAATTTCTCATTTGATTTTCCACGGGCGATCATAAACATTATGTAGCTAATAACTTGTAAAGCTAAACCTGACTTCATTTTCTAACTCATATTTAGTCCAAAATATGAAATGGTCTATGTAGAGTCCATTACACATTTAAAGATTATTTTTTTTTTTTTTTTTTTCACTTGGTATTAATTTTGTTAAAATTTGAAACAAGGACTGAATGAAAATGGAAGGACTTGTCACTTCATCACATAGAGTA